GCACACGTGTGTGTGTGTGTGTACATCTCTGCGTTTTTTGCTGCTTATGTATGTTCTCATCGGATGAGTGAGCGTGCCCTTTGTGCATAGGCATATGTGGATAGATTCATGGAGGCGATTTGGACAAGCGAGTGCATGGATGCCATCTGTCAATTATCTCTTCCCATGTATGTACGTATCTTAACTCTGACATATTTTACAGGAGTCAGACAATCGGACAGGAACTTGCAGCCGAGTTTTCCTGGTTTTCACCTCTTTGAAGGGACAGGCAATCTGCTGTGCTATGTAGGTCCGAACGATGTGTCTTGTCCGTGCTTTTGGTCATGGACCCCTCTCTTCCTCCCCTGCTCATTTTTGTCCCATCACCGTGCTTGCTTGGCTCTTACTCATTCGTATCCCACCAACCCGCCCCTTGCTCGGACGATCTGATAGACGATGGCCAACTGAATGAATGAAACACATACATATATACGTCTACGTACTGACCACAGGGTGAATCCATATTCACTTCTCGTCAAAATACTCCCTCTCTCTGGGGTTTCTGGGTTTGCAACCCTACAACCCCAAAAAAACCATACAAGGGATTTTCAATGCGAGCGAAGCATACAAGGGTAAAAATACTACTTGTATCCATCTCCGCTTCTCTCGCCGGCTCCATTTGCGAGCTTAGCGCAGCCGTAAATCTCCGGAGACACACTCTGTCTTGGCGCAAGAGCCCTCGCACCGCGCGACGTAGGCCAGTGTTGCATGATGCATACGCACATGTGTTGTGTGTGGGTCAGCGGCGGATGTACCTGCCGGTAGGCAGACAAGGAGTCTGTCTGTCTGTCTGTCTGCGCATTGCTTTGTTGTCATGTTTGTTTCTGTGCTCGCCCTTGCGTGTATGTGCAGATGCTGCGGATGGCGACTGAGGAGGCATGGAGGCACACTCATGACCATGACAGCCTGCCTGCCTGCGTGTTCAAGACCTACATCATGATGTGTGTGCAATGCACTGCAATGATGTGCGCATATGTCCCTTTCCATCCTGTGTGTGGTGTGTGCTTTCACCTGACGCGATATGATCGATACGGACCGTCACTCGCTCTCAATTTTGGATGTATGGCATCATTGGCATGGCATCGATGATTTGGCAACGACACACATCACACACTGATGGATGATATATCTGGAGGACGAGTCAGCCATTTCACGCCCTATCGGCTGTACACACACATGCACAGCAATCCACCGGACCTTCACCATGCACGTGGACAGCAACAGCATGCAAGCGTTACCCCTCCGGCCGTCCCTCCAGAACCACACCATCGAATGCAGCTTCACCACCACTGGCAGCACCAGCAGCAGCAGCAGCCGCCCCTCTCTCAGGGGACATCCCCCCATCCACTTCCTCTGCGCTGCCCTCCTTGCCCCATACTGATGGCGACACCGACGATTGATGTCTCTCCCTGATCTCCGCCTCACGCCGTCTCTTCCTTATCGTGCTGGCCCAGTAGATGATAATCCCACCGAACACAACGAAAAACACCAGAGAAGTGGCACCCTGCGCATATCGGTGTGTCCAGAGAAAAATCAAAGCGTTAAAGAGGCTGCCATAGAAGTAATTGCCCAGAGCCACCATCGCCAGCTCGGGCAGCCGGTCCAGCTGCAGGTATGAGAGCAGCTCGACGTAGCGGCCATAGCAGAGAATCAGCCAGATGGCCGGCAGCGAGGACCGAATGGCCCTGTGCGATATGAAGATGCCCCACCCCATGTGCCAGATGACGTAGAAAGCCCCACCCACACAGGCGGGGTACCAGGGCGACCGGAGGAAGCTCCGCGGCATATCGTTTTCGATCGCTATCCCGCCCTCGCTTGTCACGAGATGCAGGTCGACCAGCTCGGCATTGGCGCTGCCGAGAGGCGGCAGCACGGGCACAAAGTTGCGTGCAGTGCATGCCTTGGATCGCTGCACCCCGAAGCCGGCCAAAATGAGTATGGCCATGGTGCTGTAGATGACTGGCAGATACATGGCGCTCCATGAGTCGTGGAGCTTCCTCTCCGTTGAGAGGAAGAAGAAGCTCAATATGGATGTCAGGAAGAGCAGCAGGAAGGCCACAACAAAGAAGGCCACTCGTCGGTGCTTGAGCTTTGGCGACCATGAGAAGTTGCTGTCCACTCCGCCGCCCTTCCAAAGAGAGAACAGCGCCAGAGGGTATATGATTGAATGAAGAGTGTGCCACAGCACGATATAGCAGGCCCACACATAGTTGATGCCGCTCCAGTGCACACCCTTTGGCTGAACATCCACCTCCTCAGGGGGCTCCTTCGTCAGTATCGACTTGGAAATCAGAGCCTGAACACACACACACCACACACACACACAGACCCCCGACAAGACACGTCACCATGGCATGGGGTCTATCTCGCGAGTGTCCATGTGTGCGCACCTCATTGTATAGCCCATATGCACACCCGAACAGGGAAAGCGACCGCATGTCAAACCGCAAGAACAGAGCCCCCTCACGAATGACAGCCAAAGGCAGCCCATAAGCAAAGAACAGGAACACCAGCACAGGCGGAAGGATGACAAGCCAGGGCGGCAGGTTCCCCGAGAAGAGCTCGCTCAGCACCGGGGAGAGGAAGAGCACCACGGCCCAGGCCTGCCCTCTCGGCCGCTGCATGGCCACACAGCACACCTCCCAGCATGACCGGGATGTCTCGGAGTTGGTGGACGCAGAGGGGTTGTGGGGGACGGTGGCGTCATCAGGAGGGGCTGAGGTGGGCGACGAAGCCATCCAGCTGGGAATAGCCGCGGAATTGGTCAGGGGAGAGTGATGGAAGGTTCTCGTGGGGCCAGCGAAATGCGGCGAATGCAGTCCAGGAAGCCGCTTTTGTGAGTCAAAGCCGCTTCAGCGTCACACCACCGAGTGTTATTGAGGGAATGAGCATTTTGTTCTCGAGCGATCCACCTCAGTCTGCGAGCTTGAGCTTGCAAGCAAGGTGTACCCCACCACTCAAAATGAGGCGGTTTGCACGGCCCTTGTCGGGCCTCGTTGTGGCGTCGTCTTCAAACCCTGCGTCGATCTCTGCGTCATGCCTGTCAGCGGTGACGCCGCAGCCCTGTGGTGCAGTGAGGGTAACGCGAAGGCACTTCGCCGTCACGGAGAAGCAGGTCGAAGAAGCAGAGGTACGGAACAAAACACAGCCGAGAAACAGGAGAAAGGAAGGAAGGGAAGATCTGAATGAGTCAGTGCACCGTTCTAGCTAGTTTGATTGTGTGTTGTGATGCTCGTGTCGTGTGGGTGGTGCAGAAGCTCAAGGAATGGTTGTTTGCTGCGCGCACGATGGACCCCTACACACTCATGAGCTGGTGAATGAGATGAGATGATCACCGACAAGCACTCGCCACCTGTTTGCCGCCTGTGTGGTGTGTGGTGTGTGTGACGGCCCTATGCATTTGTCCACTCACTCCCGTCCCGTCGGTCAGCCCGCTCAAGTATGAGGTAGATCATGCCAATGTGGCGCGTCAGCGCATCCGGATTATGGACAAGCTCGACCCCCCGCAGATGGCGGTGGCTGGCATGTACTCCTCCACACAGATGGGCGCCGACGTCGATGGACAGGTCAGCCACCGACAGACAGACACGGAATGAAGCGATGAATCCAGCAAGGCGTCTGTTACGTTGTATTGTGTCGTGTTGTGTTGTGTTGTGTGTGGGATCTGTGCAGACGATGCTGCGAATCATTGACGAAGTGATTGACCGCATGGAGGATGCCTGTGACACCCTGTACGATCCTGCGAGGCGCGCAGCGGCACTGCTGGAGTGCAAGTACGGTGTCAAGGTCAGTCAGTCTCTCACAGCCAGCCTCTCACACACACTTACGTGTGCATTCGTCCATGGCTCCATCCATTCATCCATCCGTCCATCAGGTTGCGGGTGTGCTGCCTCCGCCCCGTCCGCACCCCGAGTCGACCACCCTCTACCGCCTGGCGCCCAGTGTAGGAAAGATCTCGGACAAGGAGCCCATCGAATGGGAAAAGCAGGTGCTGAAAGTCGAATCGCCCAAGGAAGACACGGAGGTACGAACAGGCACACAGACACCCACACATCCACCCAAGACATGCACACGCACACGCGGCAATCGACGGTGTGTTCGGGTTGTCTGCAGTTAACGGCCGGTCCGCCGGCGACCAAGCCGTGAGCAGACGCCGCAGATAGATATACCACGATATCGACGCACTACATTTCACTTTTTGCCTGCTCTCCTCCCCCTCTCTCGGTGTGTGTGAGGGTCAGGTATGCGTTGACGGGTAAGGGTCCTTCGGCCATGGAGGTGGTGCAGAAGACACTCGACGCGGTGTCGCGGTTCGACGCCGACCTGGAGAGCACCGCTGGCGTGCTCAGACACCTCAAACGGTCAACCACACACACAGACGCAGACCGCCAACAGCCAGACACACACAAAGCACTCAACTCGCCTGTGTGTGTGTGTGTGTGTGTGCAGTGACTACAAGGAGAAGGCCGACGAGAGTGAACAGAAGCTCAAGGAACTCTTCAAGGCCGAGAAGGTGTGAGAGAAAGAACAGTCCCTGGATCATTGCGTGTGTGCATGGGGTGTGCTGCTTGCTTCTGTTGTGGTGGTGGTGGTCGTCAGTTGGACGAGAAGGCAGCTATCAAGGCGCTGGAGGATCTGGCCTTCTACTCGGCGGGCGTCAAGGAGATCGAGGACAGCCCACCCATGCAGATGGTACCCCCAGAAACACACACACGTGCACACACACGACAAGACACGCCATCTATGTATCCCTCCCTCTGTGCGCCCACCCACACAGCTGAAGCGCCACGGCTTCCCCACGATCTTCGGCATGGACAAGGGGGCGTTCTACCTGACCAAACCCGGCGTCGCCCCACAATAGCACACCCATTCACACGGACACCCACGACTCTGTTGTATGTGAGCTGCTCACCTCAGTAAGAAGTGTTTGTCGATGTGATGCGGCGGTCCAGCCAGGCAGCCAGTCAGCTGACCATGAGGGCGCTGAGGCCATTTTTTCTTTTTGTTTTTTCGCTGACCATGGCATGACCGGCTAGTTATGTGATGTGCATCTGCTGCGTCGGCCTGCTGCCGCCCCATCCACCGTCCGTGTGGATGTGGATGGATGGATGGATGGATGGATGGATGGATGGATGGCATGAACGGATTCGAGTCTCATCTATGATACGTTCCAATTGATGTGTGTTGTGATGGACAGTCATGATAACTCGTGATCAGCTCAAAAGGATCAATCCGGATGCAATAGCGCGGCTGATGGACAACTGGCGAGAAAATGTCTGCTGCTGCCTTGCCGATGGACGGCGAGGCCTTCATTGATCTGCCACACACACATCCCTCTCGCCATTCTCGGCAGCCGTTTCCAACCGTTGGCCTCTTGCGAGCTTGAAGTCAGGTGCGTTCCTCCTCCCTTTGAATTAGATCAATACCGTCGCATTACGGCAAAAGTGAGCCAAGCCTGAAGCACAGTAAGAAAAATGCCTGCTGCATGTGTGCTTCTGGGGCGCAGAAACAACGATGAAGAGCGCGATGACGAGCAGCCCTGCCACCACCATTCGCAGCAGCAGCAGCGGCAGCAGTCAAACGATGAAGATCAACGTCGGCGGCCGTGTCATCGACTTCCCGGTAGCTGAACTGCTTCGTTCTGAGTGGCAGGGTACGCCCATCGCAGTGCTGCTTCACTGGTTCGAGGACTGGCTGCTGACCGATGACAACGGCATCCCGTTCGTAGACGCTGATCCAGAGTACTTTATCCGGTGAGTTGAGTGCATCACACACACACACACACACACGTGGGCAGTTAGTAGTCACTCACAGCTACCTTTCTGTCTGTTGCTGGGTGCTTCTGGCTGACAGGTTGGCTGGGCTGTTGCGTGGTGTCGAGGGGTGTGCCTTGCATCTGTGGGAGTTTCCTGAGTATCGCCTCCGTTTCCTCGCCGTCACATCGATGAGCACCGACACCCAGGCGCAGAGCAGCCCAGCACCGCCCGACCTGACCGTCAACGCACAGCCCGGTGACGAGAGCAGTGACGACTTCCGTGACTTCAAGGCCGTGATGGGTCCCTTCATCAAGACCGAATGTGGTGGGACGGGCGGGCGGGAGGTCAAGACCATGACATTCACCGACGGCAGCACCGGCACATGCGTTGTGTCCACAACCGATGCCACGCTGGAACATTTCGAGGGACTCAGAGGCCGATTTGACCGGTCAGTCAGTCAGTTAGAGGGAGGGAGGGAAGCGTCGCAATTCACTCATTGTTGTGTGTGTGTTGTGTTGTGTTGTGCCAGTGACAGGTTTTGCACGACTGTTTCGGGAGGAACGGGTGAGACTGTGGAGCAGTTCCAGAAGCAGGTCCTACACTTCCAGAAGTACGCACGTCAGACGAACGAACAAGTGCATGGACGCAAGCCACAGCACCACTCAGTACACGACATACCGGTTGCTGTCTGGGACCGTCAGTCTTTCTCTCTCTCTCTTTTATGTGCAGGGTGGTCGACTGGGCGCGGCGCATTCGGATCTCGGGTGACGGCGGGATCGAGGGCGCCGGCCCGGCATATCCACCTTCCTCTGACGACCCGAGGGGGCTGGCTGATGCGTGTGAGATGTATGGCATCTTCGAGCAAGCCTACCGCTGCATCCTGGGCAAGAAATACAACATCCGCCACCTCTACACGTACGGAAACGAACAACAAGGGAAGGGCACACTCAGAAGCATAACACGTGTGTGTGTGTGTGTGTGTGTGCGTGTAGGAGCTGTGCTGGTAAGGAGCATGCTGTGCCGTATGCTGACCTCCTGGACCACCTGGGTGGCGGTGGTTCGTCACGAGGCCGCCTGATGGTCCTCGAGACGAACAACGCGGAGCGGCTCATCTGCCACATTGACGGTCCCCTCCCCCTCCGCACGGACAGCACATGCCCCCAGCTGACCGGCCGCAAGGTCACCCTCCACAGGATGACCATGAAGGAAGGCAACATCATCACCACCACACTGCCGCCTGAGGACGACAGACAGCACGACCACTTCGTCGTCGCCGCGGGAGTCCACGGCGGTGTCACTGGCGCCATCAAGGCCACCAACGATGAGACAGTGAAGGGCCGTGTGGCCTTGGCCGGCGGGCGGGTGTGGCTCGGGGTCGGCAAGGACGACGATATGCGCAAGTGCCGCGTGTGTCTCGACCCATCTGCGGAGGAGACCTAGCAGCGGACGGTGCAGCTGAGGAACGGCGCAGACTCATTCAAAGGCACCGGTGCAATGGTCGGAAGGGCTCGGGGCATCGAATTCTATCACGTGAGTCGGTAGATGGGTCGGTTCGAGCAGGCTGCGAGTTAATTGATATGTGTCTAATCGTGGGCAGGTTTGGAGTGACGAGGTAGCTGCCCCGATATTGCCCGAGTCGCAGCTGAACCACCTGGTCATTGCCGCATCCGCGGGGAAGGCCTTCGCACAGCTCCTCTACAAGTGAGGCAGGCAATCCAGACACATACACAAAGTGGATGTGCGGCAGAGCACCATCGTGTCCTTGCGTCTTGTTCCCACCTCTCGGATTAGGGGCCGTCGCGACGGCTGGTCGTACGAGACGATGATGTCCAAGGTCCCTCACCTCATCGACAAAGCCACGCCCCTCCTGCTGGTGGTCAAGCGCACCGACACAGACAAACTCGCTTGCTTACTCGGCAACCCTTTCCCGGCCCCCCCGTCCGGCTCTCGCACGGCGCTCATCGAGTGCCCCGTGACCTTCTTCTCCATCAACGATGATGAGGGCATCACGACAGTGCAGGTGCCGGTGGAAGACTGGGTGGTGGAGGTGGCGGGGCCTGAGGGGGCAGTGGTGGACATGGTGGGGCGGCCGACGGGCAGTGTGGCCATCGCACGAGGCCGTCTCTGGCTGGGATACACCAGTCATGGCCTCCCCGCGACGGATGAGGTGGGACTCTCTGCTGACCCTGGGGTGGTGACTGGCCCTGCCGGTGACCTTCGTCGCGTCTGTCACTTCGTGTGGCCGAGGGGGACCAGCAGGGAAGACGCCCACGGAGGCCGCGCGTCTCTCATCACCAAGTGGGAGAGTCTGGTGGGGTGTGTCGACTTCACTGCTGAGGATGTCGAAATCTACTCCATGAAGGTCCGTCCGTCCGTCCGTCCGTCAGGCACGACGGGTGTGTCTGTGTGGTGGGGGTGTCATGTGTGCAGTAACGCCAAGATGGTCTGGTTGGGAGCAGTGCCGTCACAGAGAAAACGAGCAGCACATCCCACGGTAGACAACAAGAGCCTCCCTTCCTGCCTGCCTGCCTGCCTGCCCGCCACCCACGTGTGTTGGATTGGTGTGCGTGGCACTGCACTGCATGTAGGTGTCGTTACGTTTGACCTGCCACCCATGCCGGCGTCTCTGGCCGACAAGACGCATCTATACCAGTAAGGAAGACAACGAGACAGAGCACTTACAGACAACGGTTAGAGGGTGGGCACATGGTCCCTGTGTGTGTGTGTGTGCAGGCGTATCGTCAAGGTGAAGAGAGCATTGGAGATGAAGGGCGTTCGGGTCGATGTGAGGAATGGGGAAGACGGGACATCCCCCTCTTCGTGCTACATCTATGACGCCGAGGAGGACGAGGAGGTCCACGTGGACGAAATGATGCCGTCTTCGGTCATCTGGGACGCGTTCGGCGCCACGCCTACCGCGTCTGTGGCCCCCGGCGCATCGGTACGCATCAATCCTCTCCCTACGCCTAACCGCTCGCCCGCTCATGGCGACGAGGCGCCCGTCCCGGACGACGACATCAAGATTCTCATCACGAGGTCCGTCGCACGCGCTCAACTCAAAGACGGCAACAGTGCCATCTCTCTCTCTCTCTCTCTCTGTGTGTGTGTGTGTGTGTGTGTGCAGGCGTATCGTCAAAGATGTAACATTGGAGATGAAGGGCATTCGAGTCGATGTGAGGGAGGGGGAAGACGGGACATCCCCCTCTTCGTGCTACATCTATGACGCCGAGGAGGACGAGGAGGTCCACGTGGACGAAATGATGCCGTCTTCGGTCATCTGGGACGCGTTCGGCGCCACGCCTACCGCGTCTGTGGCCCCCGGCGCATCGGTACGCATCAATCCTCTCCCTACGCCTAACCGCTCGCCCGCTCATGGCGACGAGGCGCCCGTCCCGGACGACGACATCAAGATTCTCATCACGAGGTTCGTCGCACGCGCTCAACTCAAAGACGGCAACAGTGCCATCTCTCTCTCTCTCTCTGTGTGTGTGTGTGTGTGTGTGTTTGGGTTGACCCATGCCTCAGTTGGCGGAGTCAGAGGATGCTCCGTCATGCGCACGAGGCCCTCGACAACATCAGCCGCCATCTTGCCCGGGTCCCTGGCCCCTGCAGACCTCTTCACATCGAGCTGATCCTCAGGGAGGGCCAGGATATGATCAATGAGCTGCTCATCGACCTGTCCAACGGGGAGCTGGAGAGGGAGTACCAGACCGCCTTGAACTTGCACTTCTCGTGAGTGGAGACGACACACACGGACGGTGTATCTGTGTTTCTGTGTTTGTGTGTGTGTGTGTGGTGAATGCAGTCTGCAGAAGGAGCTCGAGAGTCTGCAGAAGGAGCTCGAGGTTCTGCAGGAGAAGGGCGAGATTGGGGAGCAGGACAAGAAGTGCCATGACTTGAAGAAGCGTTTGGATCTGCTGGTGCACATCAGCAAGGACGGCGCCCAGCACTTGGAGCAGCTGACCAAGCGTGCCAGAGACTTCCGCGTCATCTTGGAGGACGCTGTTGGCGCGCTCGCGAGGACCAGCCGAGCGGACCAGGCGGACATACAGCAGTAAGCCAATTCAATAGACGTGGGACACTGCCAAATCTCTCGTCTGTGCGTCTATGGGGGGTTGGTGTTCAGCATTTCGCAGAAGGTGCAAGTGCAGCAGCAGCCGGGCATGACAGCGTCCGGCCCGTCAGCATCGCCGGCCAGCAGTGAGTCGCCCTCAGACACCACGCAGCAGCAGGGAGGGGCTGGGGGCGGCGGGGATCCTCCGTCGCAGCTCGAAAACGAGTATCGCAAGCTCATGGGCCTGCACTTCATGTGAGAGAACATAGAGACACACACGGCCGAATGGATGGCAGTCACGTCTGTGTGTGGAGGGTGTATGCAGTCGTGTCACCGATGAGGAGGAGCGTCAGCTGATTGAGAAGCACATCAAGGAGTGCCATGACGCGGGCCGTTTGGATCGGCTGGTCGGCATCAGCCGGGACGTCGAGCACCACTTGGCTGCCGCCCATCACAGTCCTGCCGCGGCATCACAGTCCTGCCGCGGCATCACAGTCAAGAGGCTGCACCTCTTCTGGCTGCGGAGGGAGCTGGAAAGGGCACAGCGCAGATGGAGAGAGCAATTAAGATCGGAGCGAGGCTGACAAGTGCGTCATCTTCCTCCCATGTGTAAGCACGCAACGCACACACGCACACACGCGCAGGCATGTGTGTCGTCATGGTGTGTGTCTGTGTGTGTATCAGAGGCATCTGTGCGTGTGCCAGCAGTGCTCCGACGACTTGATGGCCAAGCCGCAGAGCGAGCGCGTCTGCCCCATTTGCCGCCAGGAGACAGCACGTGCGCTACATACCAACATTCGTTTAAGAGCACCATACACACACACACACATGACTGTCTTCGCACTTTCCGTACATACACAATTGTGGGCCGAAGGTGGTTTGTGTGCGTGCTGCGGACTGCATGTGTGCCTTGGTTCGGTTGCCCTCGTGAATGCAATGCGGCCTGCCTTTTGTGCTGGCTGGTATCTTTTTGCCCTGTCTGTCTGTCTGCCGTTTTTGACGGTGTGTATCGAATCTGCCTAGCATACCATACCCTCTTACATGGTGAGCTGGGATCAATCTGCCTTCCTTGCCTGGCCTGCATTGCATGGGTGCGTCTTTCATTGTGTAGCTAGATGTGTATACGTATCTATCGGCCGCTCAATCCTCTCTGCCTACATTCATGCCATGCTGCATGGATGGATGGCGGAAGGGGCTGTCCATGTGCGATACTTTCCATTGAATGCATGCAAACCGCCCGCCCTCTTCATCCGTGTCTGTCTGCCACCAGTCGACATTCGATTCATCCATCCATCCATCAGTCTCTGGTGCAACAGTCAAACACCTCACTACCAAAGCCTCAACAACATGCATTCAATTGATGTGGTTGTGATGGACAGTCATGATAACTCTTGATCAGTTCAAAAGGATCAATCCGGGTGCGACACGCGAAGCGCCGCTGGTTGACAAAGCGGCGAGAAAATGTTGCGACGAGACGGGCAATCGAGACGGGGGCGGAGATTTAAAAGAAATAACTCGCGCAGAACTTTTTGAAGATGTCAGTTTTTCGTGAGCCCTTGTGACGACAGAGCGTCACACTCGTCAATCAGCCGCCAGCTGACGGCAAATATTCACCGTTTCCCCCTTTGCTCACATCAGCTGCCCTCAGTCGTCATGGGCGGCCACAGCACTCCACGGCCACAGCAGCAGGTGGCCTTGACGTCAGAGGAGCGTTATTTGGAGGCCGGGGAGTCCGAAATCGCCGCCGCGTTGCTGGAGGGCCTGGGGTTTGTGGACTGGGGGGGCCGGAGGAAGGCCGCGAGGGCCGCGAGGAGGGAGATGGCCTGGGAGCTGACGAGGGAGATTCCCACTCGCTGCCCCGAGGCTGACGTGGATGGCTGGTGCGTGGTGGGCGACCATGATAACACGTAAGTGGACACACATATACATTGCACTCTGGCGCGTTCATTCTCAATCTCTGATGTGTCCTTTCCTTCATTTCATTCAGGCCCGCCACGGTGAGGCTCCACCGCCACCATCGACGTGCAGCCAAGCGAAGAGGTCAACCCCACACCCACGCCAGCGGCACCAGCAGTGGAGCCCATCGCCTGACCCGAGGCCGACACACAGCAGCCGCCCCACCCTGAGGCCCCCCAATCAGCGGACGAGCAAGCCGCCGCCACAGAGGCGCCGCCCACCGAAGAGCCGCAGGCCGGCCCATCCCAGCAGAAGGAGGTGGAGGAGGAGGAGAAGAAGAAGAAGGTGGTGGAGAAGCCGCCCCGCGTGTGCAACTTCGAGGGCCTGGCCCACCTCGTGGACAAGTACAAGGACGTGCCGTACTACCCGCCGGCACCGCCCACCCTGCCGCCCGCCAGCACCTGGAAAGTGCTGCCGGCGTACGACCGCCGCATGGGCAACGAGACGGTCATCACCTTCCACATCGTCCTCACGCCCGACAGGTGGGCATCAAGACGGCCCTGACCCCGAGGGCGGCAGAGGTCCTCAAGAGGGAGCAGGCGTACCAGTGGTACATCATCAACCGGGCCTGCAAGAAGGAGTGGCGGCGCAAGGCCATCCACGTGCACGTGTGTTGCTGATGTGCAGATCGCTGGCTACATTTTATATTTGATCGACCGATGATAAACCCGCTACCGCACTGCCTTGTCCCGCCCGTCTGCACGTCGAAGGTGAGCTGTCTGTCGAAATGGACTGATCAACTCGCGTGTACGTGTTTCGGGTCTCTGTGTGCAGATGGATCGCTGTCTCCCTCTTATATAGTGGGCCTCTCCTACTTCGTCCAAGAACAAACCGCTGGCTGACTGCGTCGATCGCGTCAACAACGGCGAGGCGGGCTGGTTCTCCATCGCTCTCACGTGTCTCGATGTGGCCGACCCGGAGTCCGACCCAGACGACGGCCCACAGACAGTGGAGGACTTCGTCGAGAGCATGAGGGACTACTTCGAGGTGCGGCGATTTCCCAGGGACGCAGAGAAGGACATCATCACCGCACCACGTGGGGCCTTCCGCGACCCAATCGAGGCAGCCAAGACAATCGTGTTCCACCACCTTCTCATTGCAGCCGACCCGCTGCAGAGGGCCACGGCATTCGCAGAGGCCGCAGAGGAGATGCCAACGGGGCTGGTGGAGTCGAGGCCCATCAAGATCGAGAAGGAGGGGCCCATGCGGCTGAGGGCAGAGAGGGGCGGCTGGAAGCACGAGCACTTCTATGTGCGGCTGACTGACGCGTCCGCGAGCAGGTGGGTGTGGATGACGGTGTGGTGTGTCGTTGATACGGCGTCCAACCAAGCGGAAGGTGAGCCACACAACATTCACTTCTTTCGTATGTCTCCGTGCCGTACGTACGCAGAGTTGGCGCCCCACGGCAAGGAGGTGGGGATTGTGGCCATCAAGACCGCCTTGACCCCGAGGGCGGCGGAGGACCTCAAGAGGGAGCAGGTGTACGTGTGGTACATCATCAACCGGCCTGCAAGCAGAAGTGGCGGATAGACGCCATCCGCAGGGCGTGCAAGGAGCAGTGGCCCAACCACTACAAGTTCCCACACGAGCGGACCGAGGAGGAGAACAAGCCGTGCGGGGCGTGGCTGTAGTGTGGGGGAGAGGCTGGTGGGGTGTGTGAGGATGGATGGACGCGGAAGGCGGAGGGTCACCGCAGGGGAGGAGAGGGAGGGCCTTCTCATCGCTGCTTACATTTTATATTGGGAGTTCCTTTGCCTCGTCCCAACGCATAAGAGGGTGGGGTGTGTGTGTTGACTGAGTGAGTGAGTGAGACTCCCTTGATCATCTGTTTGTGCCACTGGCCAACCCGTGACGGCCGGGAAGAATTCACTGCAACGACACAAGTCAAACAAACTATCACTACACACACACACGCGGGCTATGGTAGCATCGGTGGCAGTATCGGCACAGACACCTTTGTGTGTCTCATCGATTCCGGTTGTCTGTGGGAGTTGGGGTATCAACCTGTTTGATAGGATTGATCATCTCAGTGTCTCACACAGTCGGCGCATTCAGGAAAAACAAACGTACGCATGTGTGTATCCATGCAGTCCATCCGATCGTCCTTCTCTCATGTGTCGATTGATGCACAGACCCCCCACACCCACGCCCACATCTCACCTGCGCTCATGCACGGCCATCCATCGATCCATCCATTGATCGCGCCACACATTCTTCCCACCTGTCTGTCTGTCTCTCTGTTGGTGCGCCCGCCCAGCAAAATCGCCACACCCACACCCACACCCACATCCATGCACACGCACTCTCATGCACAGAGGTCATCCCTACCTGGAGCCATGTCGACGCGCTCTGTCTCTCTCTCTCTCTGGTGCAACTCAAAAACAGCTGCTCTGTTGAACACTCCCCGTCAACCCCTCTCTCCTCTCCCACTCTCGCCCACGAATCGCACCAGACAGACAGACAGACAAGCAAGCCAGGGAATCAGTAGGGAGGGAGGCACTGAAACACTTCAGCGACAGATGGACGGACAGACAGACAGACGGAGAGGGGCGATGCTGTGTGGTGTGTACTGTAGGGGTGTGTGTTCAACGGGTGCGTACGTCATTGTGTGTGTGTTGGCTGGTTGGTTGAAGGTGGCCAAAAGGCAGCCGGGCAGCATCATCAGATGTCTCTCTGTGGCTGTAGGCAGTCAGGCAGGTAGGCAGGCAAACAAACACTCACACGGCAGACAGACAGACAGGACCACAGACAAGACAACCAGAGCCCCCCCGAAGGGCGGACAAAAAAAGTAGCCAGGCAGGTGGACAGACAAGGAACACACAGACACGCAGATAGAGAAAAAATGGCAAAAGCTAGGCGAGGCGAGGCGAGACACACAGTGCACTCAGATAGATGCAGCACAGTGGGCATGGTGTGTGTGTGTGTGTCCATGTGTGTGTCCATGTGTGTGGTCGTGTTAAAATTGCGATGTCGTCCGTACGTCAGTTCGTTACGATAGCATGCAGTGCCAACCAGCAGAACCGTGGGGACGCTGGTGTCCGTCCGTGAGTGGTGAGTGAGTGGGATGGTGAGTGGGTACGATTGTGTGCATTGCATTCGGTAGACCATCGATACGATCGACGATAGCCTACGGACATCAACCAATCAATGCATTGCAATGCCGATAACGAGCTCGAGGGCACCACACGCACACGCACACACGCACGCACAGCAGGGATCGGAAGAGAGAGGGCGACGCACCGCACCGCACCGCACCCACAAGAATCAAATGAAGACCGTACCGCCCGGAGATGGGATGGGATGCAATCAATGAAAATCATGACGCATGCATGCGATTGTAATGGTACGGTAGGTAGGTACCACCTACACTAAGTACGCACGCACAACATCACCGCACACACGCAGCACCAAACCGTACCGCACCGCACCGCACCGCACCGACTGACCGACCCACTTACCAAGCACCAATGGGCAGCATTGACAGCAAAAGGACGGACCGACAAACAAATAACAACAGCCACAGCCAGCCGTTCCGTTCCGGATGTGAATTATCTATCTGCCGCAGTTCCACACACGAAAGCACACCCACCCACCCACCCCACCAAACATTTCGAAACGTCTGTCTCACCACGTCACGTCATGACGCATCCATCCATCCAGCCAGCCAGCCAGCCAGGCGGTAAAGGTCGTTACCCACCTTACCCACCTACGCACAAACTCGCAGAGGTCCGGCTCGCCACAGGACAAACAGACGGGAAGCGAAGGGCAGCTACGATGTGTGCATGTGTGCATCGGAGCAATCGTATGGATCAATCGTTGGGGGGAGGGGGGGAATGTCGTATGCATCGAAAACCCTACCACTCCCGCACCCTGTCGCCCACAAACCGCATCTACCTATAACAATGCCCCAGAGAACCAGCCTGCGTGGAGGAGCTCACACAAGCACACGAGAGACCGGTGGAGAGACTGCACAGACAGAGACACAGACAAACGGACAAAACGCAGTTATAAAAACACCAAAATACCGCTGCAGCCTTCAATCCTTCCATCATTCCTTCCTTGCACACGAGCACCTGGTCCGCATACACCCCATCTTATCTACACGTGCGCTCCCTCCCTCTCCCCCTCTGTCACCCCGGGGGCCCTTAGACATCCATCCATCCGATGTCCATCCATATACTACCACACACCCGCACCACTTTCATTAGATAGACATTCTTGCCTCCGCTGCTGACCAGCGATGGCAGCTAAAACGCAGCGGGACGGCAGACACACACACACACACACAGCACACCTACATGCTCACACATGTGTACACACAGACACACAGAGCAGCAGCAGTAGTAGGGCAGCCCAGCCCAACGGCGGCACACCACCAACCCCAGCGATCGATCAACGAATTACACAGACAGAGAGAGAGGGAGGGATGGTTTAGATAGATGGCAACGAAGTCGAGACATGAAAGAGATCGATCGACCTGTGGTTGGGGGGGTTGTGTCGCTGGTGTGCGTGTGTGTGTATGTAGAGAGAAGATACCTAGGATAAGTCAAACACATTTCTGTGAATTCCCCGCCCGTCCGCCTCCACGCCCTGTCTGCCTGCCTGCCTGCCTGCCTGGACGGCAGATGCAGTAAGGGAAGGCTGAATTACACAAAGACCAACACAGGGGTGAAATGGCAACGGGAGCCAGGTGCCAGTTCATGACGCAGTGAGGAAGGAAACAGGCAGGCAGGCCCACAAGACAGACAGGCAGGGTGCGCAAGGCAAGGCCTTGCATAAATAGGCAGGCAGGCAGGCAGGCAGTCATGCGTTCGTTCAGGCAATTAGGAAGGTGTGCATATCATTGAGCAGCAAGCCAGCCGATTTCGATTCGAACCAACACTTAGCCAATTAGATAGACAGATAGACACACACACACACACACACACATGCAATCTAATGCAATGCAACGCAATGTGCATCGCACCCACGTGCCTTAAAGTATGGAGCGTACGTACCG